TAATCTAAAATTTGAAATAACCTGCAAATAAATATCTTGCTTACAAAATTAAAAGAAAAATTATCAAAATAATTATAAACATTTCTCTTGTAGTACCTAAAACAATATATCTATAAAGAGATCAAATATAAAATAAAAAACATATTGATAAACAGATAATATATATATATATATATATATATATATATATATATATATATATATATATATATATATATATATATATATATATATATATGTATATATATATATATATATATATATATATATATATATATATATATATATATATATATATATATATATTTATACCCAGCAAACACGCCATGCTTGGCCCATGCATGGCCCACCATCGGTCCTATGACTGGCCCACCATCGGCCGACAATCATGGCCCAATCCCAGTGTTGCACACTGTTTATTGCTTGGCCCATGCATGGCAGCCGTTCTTCGACCAGCGTTTAGCCGTTGTTTTGCCAGTGATCATTTTTACGCTACTTTAGGTTGATTTTATTTGCTTTTTAACATGTATTGCTATTTTTATAAATAAACAATACTTAAATAAATGCGAGATTGTAACTTAAGCAAGCAAATGCAAGATTTTAACTTAGAGATTTTAACGTAAAATAAGTAAGGAAGAAAAAGATAAAGCGGGGTGATGTTTGACTACTTAAAGTCTCCTGGGTGATAAAAAATAGAATGTGGGATATTTTTAACTATAAACACACCATCATTTTAGCAGTACAATTTATATTACCAAATATTTTTATTTCAATAAAATATTCTTTCAATACAATACATATAGAAGTTTAAGGTTAGCAAAAAGTTAAACTTCTACAATAATTCCAACTTGATGCTTGCATGAGCTAACGTTTGATACTTCTCGATATATCTATATTTGTTGCCTGCCAAGCCCCATCTGAAAGATTTAGTAATTACAAAAATTAAAAAAATAGCCAAAAGTCAAGAAATCGTAAAATAAGTATAAAACTGTAACGTAAATAACTAAAAATAAAGTAATTGCAAAACAAACTATACAAGTTAGAAATAACATTAAATAAGTAATAAATATTTTTAAATATAATTCTTTATTCTATATTATAAGTAATAATATACTCTTTTTGCACACTTTGCTAACAAGATCTTGATCTAGGCAGTGTTTGATGCTCTTCTCAAAACTTCCAATATTCTTGTGTTCTCAAACCAATTTGTTAAAACTAATAAATTAAAGAAAGATAAATAGATTGAACTTGTTTACCCTAAAATAAATGTTATAATTGTATTTACTGTTTATACTTTTATATAATATTCGTCTTAAAAAATCTAACCTGCCCTGTTATTTGGTGTCAAATGAAATAAATCACGCAGTTGTATAAGATGCCAACAACATAATAAAAGTATTTAAACATAAATACTTTTAGAAATATAATTTAAAAGAAAAATATTTAAAAAAACCTTGTGAATATGCAACTTCTACTTTACTCTCTAAAAATTTAAGATTTTAAACCAATAAATTTCTCAAATTACTTTTTTTCCACAAAGAAAAGCCTTGAAATGTTTGTTATCTCTCTCTCTCTCTCTCTCTCTCTCTCTCTCTCTGTATATATATATATAATATATATATATATATATATATATATATATATATATATATATATATATATATATATATATATATATATATATATAATATATATAAAATATATATATATATATATATATATATATATATATATATATATATATATATATATATATATATATATATATATATACATATGAAGTTTCTTGGGCTACTATATATAATCTTACATTGTTTCAATAAATTCAATAATACTATATATAATCTTACATTGTTTCAATAAATTCAATAAATCACAACTCGTTGACTTCATGATAACATTAGATAATCATATTGTTCCAAAAAATACTCTGAACGAAATAAAACATATAAAAACTATAAATATAAATCAACTAAGTTTCATGAAACGTCATATAATAAAAAATATCTTACGTTGTTTATCCAATAAACCACAACTCAATGACTCCATAACATTAGATAATTATGTTGTTTTAAAAAATACTCTTAATGAAATACAACATATAAAAATATATAAGGTTTCTAAGGAAACCATATAAAAGAAAAACCTTACTTTGTTTCTTCATTAAATCACAACTCATTTACTCCAAGATAATATTAGCTAACCCTGTTGTTTCAAAAATTACTTTTAATGAAATACTACTTATAAAAACTATAACTATATATAATCAAAATTTATGGGTATGCAACATAACAAAAACACCGTACCTTGTTTATTAACAATGAAGTTTCTTGAGATACCTTATACAAAAAATATCTTACGTTATTTATCCAATAAATCACAGCTCGTGGACTCCACGATAACATTAGATAAACCTGTTTTTTTCTTTTTTTTTAACTCTCTGAATAAAATATTACAAATGAAAACTATAAATATATATCAATAAAGTGTCTTGGGTTACCATAATAGAAAAATATCTTACGTTGTATATCCAACAAATAATCTTATTGACTCTATAACATAAGATAACCATGTGGTTCCAAAAAAGATTCTCAATTAAATACATATAAAAATTTAATAATTAAGCTAATTATTAAATATTAAATAAGGCTTAAAAGCAAATAAAGATATTAATCAATCATTTTATTTCACTTTATAGAAAATACAAAGTTAGGATCAGTAACAAACAATTATGTAACTGACAAAATCGTGACGACCTACAAATATTCACCATAAATTTGAAACAATATATAAACCAAATAGCAAATTAATAGTAAAAAAAATAATTAATTAATAATAATAATACAGTAATAATAATTATAATAATAACAGTAATGGCTAACAAAAGTAAACAATAAAAATAACTATGTTAATTATAAATATAATAATAATAGCCAAACATTAACAATAAGTATATAAGTACTATCAGTAATAACTAACATCAGTAACAATAAGAATAACAATGTTAATTAAAAAAATGAAAATAAAACAATTACAATAGATTTATTATATATAACAATGACAAAATTGACAGAAAATATAAGACAACAATGACAGAAGATATAAATATCTTCTGCAGAAGACATTTATATAAATGTTAATATTAATAATGATAAGATAACAATGACAGAATATATAATTATATATTCTTTTATTGTTATCTTAATAAGATTCTTATCATTATTAATATTAAAAAGAAAATGTTTTGACAATGACCGATCTGTCATTGTTAAAACATTTTCTTTTCATTTATTTACAGCTATTAAGTTAACAAAAAATAAGAAATACGAAATATAAAAATAAGTGTTTTTACTGATTTATTACTACTCTTTTTTAAGAACATTGAGCACTGTGTGTGTGTGTATATATATATATATATATATATATATATATATATATATATATATATATATATATATATATATATATCATAATGCTATTATTAAAAGTAATAAAGCTTTTTTAATTTTATTTGAAGCATGAAAACAAACTTACAAGTCCTTTTGTTTTAATAAAATAATTTTTGCTGAACTATTTTTAAGAGCAAAAAAAAAAAATGTGGAAACAAAATCAAATGCAGTTTCTTTATATTATATAGTATATATGATATATAAACCTCTACAATTTCATCAGTTCAACAACTGATTTATGATTAATTACAACTCTGGAAACATAAATTATCTAAATGTAATTAAATAAATAGAAATGCAAGAAAATGCTTACCGCTAGTATTTAAATACATTAAATACTTAAATATTAATACTATAAATTTTTATAGTAACTAAATAAATACAGGTAACTAAACAATATAAAGAAATAAACATAAATAAAAATGTAAGCAAATGTTTACTGCAAATATTAAGAGATAAAAAAACAAATATTATATTTATGAGCAAAACTCATTTATATTCAATAAGTTATATTAAATAAAATCAATCAGATACTAGATTGTTTTAATATCATTAGAAAGATTTTTATTACAGTATTTTAAAGGTGAAAAAGTTATTAAAATCAAACAACTCTACAAAAATTTATAGCATTTTAATTGTCGAATTTTTGATTTATGAGTTTGTTGAAAAAACAGTGACCAAATTTGTTCGATTTAAGTTTTTCTTAACTTTAAATATCATAACTTAGTCAATTCTTCTTAAAATTTGTAATAAAGTATCAAAAGAAAGATCTTAAAAATGAGAATAAGGATACGTAAAAGGCATTTAAAGGCTTTAGAAGGGTGTTTATAACACCCTTTAAAATATTCAAAATTGAAGTTTTTTTTTAAAAAGTTTTATATTTTTATCTATACATTGATTATTCAATGTATAATATAAAATAATTACTTGTAGAAAGTACTTACCTTGAATTTTTTTCATATTTACATTTGTTGATATATTTATAAAACATTTAGTTGGTTTTAAAATATATTTTATTTTTCATTAAAGTTACATTAATTTTTAATGCAATTTGTTACTGTATTAATATCCTTATGTAAAGGAGCATTGGTACAAAAAACTAAATTTAGAAAATTCAAAAGTATTGTATTTAATTAATAATATTTCTAAACATAAATTATATTAGTATGTCGCTCATACATTAAAAATAGGGTAAAATAGTTGTTTTTGATTTTTTCTGAATTTTCTCCCTTTTTTTTTTAATTTCTTGGTAAAGCGTACCAATGCTCCCCCTCTCCCCTATATTTATATAATTATATTTATATATTATATAGATATAAGTATATAAATATAGGGGAGAGGGGGGAAATTATTTAAACATTTATTTTTTATAATTGTTTATACAATTTAAATATATTTCTTATAGCATTCTTTATATTATTTATTGTTTATAAAAGCACACATTTTTTATGATCAACACATATATATATATATATATATATATATATATATATATATATATATATATATATATATATATATATATATATATATATATATATATATATTTAGTCCTCGGTTTTTATATATGTGGCCAAATGCAAGAATTTCAGTAATGGGTGGTGAACAAGCTGGAACTGTTTTAGCAACCATTAAAAAAACTCAACTTAAGAAAGAAGGAAAAAAGGTAATTAAAAATAATTATATTAGCTTGGTTGATTTTACTATTCTATATTGTATATACTCAAAATTTCTAAAATTTGGATGTAGTAACTTGCTGTTTTATATAAATAAATTTAAATTGTTGATTTGATAATAGTTAATTTTTTTTTTTTTTTTTTTGTCAATTTAAGCACACTGTCAATGTTTCAAGGATTAAAATTTGATTAAAATTTGAAGCAGGCACAGACATATGCAGGATGTCAATATGACACCCTATGGACATTACAAGTCCATAGGATGTCTTTGTGATGTCCAGTAGACATTCTGTGCCCACTGGAAGTAGTTGATCAAAAGTAATGCATGTATAGACATGTCAAATATTTTAGCTCGACATATCACAAATTGAAGAGTTGAATAAATACATAACTCTTCCAAAGATTTTTAATCAATAATGGAAGGAAAATTGATAGTCACTTTTTGAAAGTTGTCACTGTTTGTAGTCACAGCATGTTGCATGAATTCTTACTAACTAGCAATAAGCAACTCATAATATGGGTTGTTAGTAAATAAAATTAAAAAAAAAATCCGCATATAGAAAAGCCTAGAAACTACTTCAAAATAGAAAAGCCTAGAAAAGGATGTCAACTGTTAACTACTATTAAATTCAACTATATACTCCTATTAAATTAGCGTATTAATATTATCAGATTAGGCTGTGGAGATTCCTTTGAAGTTAAAAACCATGCAGTTTGATACAAAAGATCAAGATTCATAAGAAGTGAATGAAATAATGGCATTGCTAAATCTCTAAACGCTTTGAATTTTAACTTTTATTATCCTTGTTAACTCGACCCATGATATTTTTATCGCACCTTTAAAGCAAAAAGATTGTTTATGTTTCAATTGCATTATAGCAATGAATTTTTGAACAGAGTATTGTAAAATTGCGATTGTACCCATTCTGTAAAATATATTTTTTCCAGTCAGAATGAAAATGTTATGATCAACATTAGGGTGTTCCAAAAAGATACTTTTTTAAAAATTTCAATGTGCTCTCCACTGATCCTTGTTCTATAGGTCCTAAACAGTTACCAAAATCTTGATTTTTATTTTTTAATGACTAGAAGTGATAGATATAAGTTCTGAGTTTTACGGTATTGTACACATGGTTATTTACATAAAAACAGTGCTATCTAGTATTTCAATAGGTTTTAATATGATGTAATAATTGGTACACAAATAATTGCCATAGGACATTATTAAAGGATAGGATCATTCCCTATGAACATTGTCAGTGATCGATATAATCCCTTCACGGCAATATTATTACTTGGTATGATTACTCTCGGATTGGTTCACAAATAACTCCATTTAGAATTTTTTTTTGAAGGAAAAAATTTCTAAATGGAATTATTTGTGCAAGCAGAAGTTCTAATTTGTGCACGAAGAAATTCTTGTGTAAAGGGTTATAAAAGCCTTAACGGTAAACTCAGATAAAATATGATATGAGAGGGAATAACGATTTTATCCAAGTGTAAAATTTAGTATAAACTTAGTTAAAAAACTGATTATTTCAAAATTCATATAAAAATGGGTAGAACAGCTAAAAAAAAAGAAGATGATAGGACAGAATAAGAAAAAACGGAAAAATACAGAAAGGTTGAGGTATATTTACCTATTGAAGTACCCACTAAGGGATTTAACTCAAAGACAGCTTCCATCTAATGGTGATATTCTAAGATACTATCAATTTATCCTTTGCGAGTCACAAGTAAAATACAAACCCACTTCTACTAATGTTGGTTGCAAATTGAAATCGAAATCCAAGGATCTTGTTTGTGAAAATGGTGTTTGTACAGATCCTGATAACTCTTGTTTGGTAACTAGGATTAAAAAAATTTGGGATAATGCTGGGTTTGGCAAGAAATTTGTGATTTCTGGGTATAATATAAAGACCAAAATCATTAAACTTAATCTAAAATACAAGAAATTGATTAAAAGATTTTCTCACAGAATCCTATCAGCTTTTTGACATATAAGAATTTAAAAAAAAAAATTCTTGCTGATAGGTTGAGAACAGATGATGCGAAGCTGGAAGTTTAACTTAAATTTAAAGTAATTTAAAGTAAATAAAATTAAATTAATTAAAAATAAATTTAAAGTAAATGATAATAAATAAAGTAAAAAATAAATTTAAAGTAAATAAAATTTAAAGTAAGTTCATTAAATAACACTTTTTTAGTAGTGAGATTTTTTTTCCGATTTAAAGTAACTTAAGTAATAGCATAATATTTCCTTTAAAAAATTTACGTTTAACTCCTTCCATGGTTGTCCATCTTCCAGGAAAAACTAGAACAATTATTAATTTATTTATAAATGACTTAATAGAATTAACTATTCCTTAGTTTTTATGAAGACCAAAAGTTGGATTGGAAAGGATATATGGGAACAAACATTGACGAAGACTACAGTAGGAAAGCACTTGATGCAAACAGGAGAAAGAACAAGCGAGATAAGTTTAGAGTGAAAGAATTGGAGAGACAGAAAAACGTAAAAGATATCAATGATGTTTTGTTGTCACATGACTCCATGACAGAAGAGATTCAATTCAGCAGTGAAGAAGAAAAGCCAAACGAGGGCTCTGAAATCAGCGAGGAAGAAGATTTCCTGGGTAACGGTCGGAAAAGCATTTATAGTTTTATTGAAAAGTATATAATTATAAAAAGGTAGAAAAGTGTTATAAAATGATATCTAGGTACAATTCTGGAGAGAGGATAAATCTAGCATTGAATGTTAAAAAGCTCATTGAATGTACTGCTATTCCAGCAACAAGGTTTAATGTTGGTGTACGACCTCATCTGGCAATTTTAAGTGAAGTATTTAAAGCTGAAGGTATAGAAATTAATGATATACCGCTTTGCATACTTCATAGAAAAAAGTAACACTAAGCACACTTCATAGAAAAAAGTTCAAATATGTAGAACTTGAAGGAGACTTGAAGTGGATTTCAATAAATAATCATCTTAAAGGCCGACAGCTTATTCTTCATTTTGATACCAAACCGTTGGAACAAATTACCACTGGGCTTAACATTATTCAAAAAATCGAGCAACTTGCACTCTCAGTGAGTTCCCCGGATGGCGATACCATGGAAGACCATCTTTTAGGTGTTGTTCAATGTCCCTCTTCAAAGGGAGTTGACCAAGCAGAACAAGTGCACAATCTTTTATAATATTACAGATGTAAAGAGTAGATCATTAGTATATGCTGTTATACCATTTGCAAGCAATACAGACGGAGTCAATGGAGCAGTCCAAATTCTTACAGATATTTTGAAAATACCAATTTTGTGGATAATGTGTAGAAGACACATATATAAAGTACATGTATCTCACTATATGGCTGCTCTTACTGGTAAGAAAACTAAAGGTCCAAGAAGAGCTCTTTATGTCAAGCTAAAGAACAAGTGGCCTGAAATCTGTGAGAAAGTTAATAAAGTGAAAAATTTATGTAAATTGGACTGGCAAAGAGATAATCTGAAGATTGGCTCTGTTCTTCGCACTGTTGCAGAGGAAGCTAAGAAATTTTTGACTAATGCAACTACTGATATAGTGTTTTCAAGGAATAATTATGGTATAGTTTGTAAGCTTACCTCCTTCCTTGGAGTGGAAGTACAAGATTTTAAGTTCCAAGATATCAATTATGTCTTGACAGAAAAAGAAGTGCTGCAGTTGAAGGATGCAAGTTTGTTTATTGTAATTTGCTATGTTCCATGGTTTTTGAAAAGTTTTTTAGGATTTCTGACTCCCTACAATGGTTTGAAAGCTATCCAGACAACCTATGGATTGAGAAAAGTCAATAAGAATATTGGAAATGCTTTGCTTCTTAACATGGGGCGCCATACGTGGTACTTAACTCCGCAACTTTGTGTTTTGTCCTTTGGGGATAAAGAATTTCCTTCTGAAACAAAGCTAAGAATGCTATTAGCTCTGATTGAGTTTGAAGAGCCAAATAAGTTTCAGGGCTGTACACTATCAAATTGGAGAGACCACAGAGCTACCTGAGTTGATTTCTGAGCAAAGCTACCTTCTCTTTAAATATTTTAAAATATCAAAAGCAAGTATAAAAGAATGGCTCGATAATAGTCTTAATACTATAGATGTTTTTAACCATCCTCAGTTGCTAGATTTTATTGCATGGATCAAAAACATATCTGTTGTAAATGATGGTGCAGAAAGAAACATTAAGCTCATTAAAGATTTTATTTCACTTACTAGAGATGAAGATCATCTTCAAAATGTACTTTTTGTAGTTAAAAAGTCTAGAAAAAACTTGACTAAGAGTATGACTAAAAAGTAGCTTGGGAACTGTTCGAAAAGTTGTATTTTTTGAGAAATGTTTTACCGCAATAAAATCTTAAATTTGCTAATAAATATTAGTTTTCATGTATTTTTTTTTATTTTATTTTTTTTATTTTCATATTTATAAATATAATCTATCAAGTTAAACAGTAGAAAACAATTGGAAATGATTTATACGCATTTAATTGTTTTGTTTTAATTTTATAAAATGTAAAAAAGTTGTGTTTTCTATTAATGTTAAGCCAGCTTAACATTAAAGCAGTAAAGCTCAGATTTTACATCTAGCACTTCCTGTCAAAATAAAACCGTCAAATTTTTATAATAATAAAACATATATTTATATATATAAATACATATATATAAGGCTGATGCGAAATGGGGTGTTAGACAAACCCCCTCATCAAGGAATAATTTTTTTATTTAGTCAGCAAATTTGATTCTTTTAGACAAGTCAGTTGGCAAATGTAGACCTTTTAGACCAGTAAGTAGGCAAGTTTTAAAAAACAAGGACTTTTTTTTAAAGTCAAAAATGACATTCCCTGTCCTTCGTTCCCCCCCCCCCTCCCAATCCTCCTCATGTGTGAAACATACTCGCATTAGCCCTTGGCGCAATTAAATGTCACATGGAGTTTATTTTCAACAAATATATTCAAAAAGTGTTACT